TGTATCAGTCGCAATGTGTTCCTTCCTACAAGAGAAATGCTTGTTATCAACAAATCAGTGGCGGCTGATGGCGAACATTTTTTAGCACGTTGAAGGAAGTTTCGCTCTGCACTTTAGACGAAAAATGAGCTAAATCTGTCACGTAAGGAATGGGAAAGCTTGACAGTGCATGATATCTTATGTTTCGATCCACTTTCTCGACGGTTGCTATAAGTTGGTGCGATGATGACCTCTGTTTACGGCTACCGTACTGTGGTTCACTTATTCAGCCGGTTAGTTTAGCTTATTTTAATCAGAAATTTGGGCCATGATCTCGACCTGAGAGGACTGAACGCAGGAAGTGCTTGTCTGATTTGCAGCAGCTGCAGTGCAGTCTCGACTGGTTTCGTGGCCCTATAAGGTCATATCGCTCTACAGCTAAGCGCCCGTACTAGGCTGCATCTTTTCTGCAGGTGTGCTATTGGTATCCTTTCGGCATTGCGAGGATGGTAGCTTTTACGGTGTCAAGGCGTGGCGACAGTGGGGGTCAAACCATACTGGTGGTAGGTGTTTGGCAGTCGGCCAGACTTGAATTCGCAATCACATGAATTCATAAGCCTACTAGCCAAAAATAGGATCTTTATTCGGGAAAGAAACCTTAGTATTGGATATACTTGCCCGGTCTAATACGATAGTGTTGGAAAGACAAACTGCGACCTCCCGACTCCCTGGTGTGATTTGTACATCAAGTGCTACTTTCATTGATACCATCCAGGGTTTTAGATGCTGTATGGTGTATGAGATCCAGTGGCCCCAAGCCGTAGATATGGGCCTAATCCCTCACAATTAAAACCAAGTTTTTCTGCCTGATAGTTTACCATGGCCAGCGATTATCTTGTCAACTATTCCGCGCAAATAAAGCAATATTCTCGCGTCACATCGCTTTTTCTAACTTATCTTTTATTTTCTAAATCACATCTCCTTAGTCGCCGCCACAGGCACAGTTGTGAGTGCACACTGTTGCTGTAGCTGCTCACTCGTCCGCCTTGTTTGCGCCCTCTCATTGGCACCCTGAGCATCCTCCGGGGTGCTCGCAATCGTACCGAACTTAAAAAACGAAGGCCGAGAAAGCGGTGACTGTGTACTGGTGGTTATGTTCAGCGCTGTTGTGCTGGGCCGCTGCACAGAGGAGGGGACAGCCCCCGTGTGCGCTAGGCTGTACCTGCCCCTGCCCACCAGGGGTGGACTGGTCTCCGAGTTTGGGGCCACACCTGCGACGCGTTGGTCGGTGCCTCGGGACAGTTTGGTGACACTGTGCGGTGAGCTCGGATCCAGACCTACACCTCCACCACCGCCACCAACCAAAATATCGAGAGAATGGCTCTGCATATCTGGGAAGGGCTGCACAGGCACACCCCCGACTGTGCTCACTACCGAATACGAGGATGAGGACGCCGAGGTACTCATGCCCAACCCCCCTGTGCCGCGTGCGTGTGTTTGTACGCGTGCGTGGCCAGCGGAGGTCGAGGGTTTGCCGAGTGTGGGTGAGAAACTGTGCACACCACAAGCGGTTCGGAAGGCCCCCGCGGATTGGGGCAGCTGTAACTCACTGGCCGTGAACAGCGCGAGATTGTCGCTCGCCAGATTGGAGCCCAGACCTGCCACACTCTCGAAGCTCATGAAGTTATACAGTGACGGAGACGGGGGTGTTGTTGAATCTATAGGCATGTGCACGTGGGTGTTCATAGTGCTCGTGCTGCCCGCATCCCCCGTTGGCTGGCTGTACTGGCTCTGTCCTGTGGCGTGTGGGCCCAGCTGTCTGGGCGTGATGCTTAAGCTGCGCTGGTGCGTAGTCCGCCCCAGCGTCTGCTGGTGTACTGATGCCGACCTGACCATGCCAGGGCTTTGGCTGGGTATCCTCGTCCTGGGTTTGCTCTGTTTCGGATTGTACTGCACCATGGCGCTGATGTGCTTCAGATTCTCCTGATTGTCACAAAATGACTTTTTCGTACACGTGCCTGCGCCTGTAGGTGTACCGCCGTCCTGTTGTGTGTTTCTAGTCAGCCTTAGATCCTTCATTCTCCCCGTCATATCTATCTGCGCATTCGGATTTGTTGTCTTGCCTACAGAAGCCTTCACACCCACACACCCTGGAGGTGCACATACAATGGACGTTGCACTCTTCATCTCCTTAGTGCCACTACTCGTTGGTACCGAACTGACTTCGGGCTGTGTGTAAGAGGGTGGCACCATCGCGGCATTCGTCGCATCCCGCTTTCGTCTCTCGTTATCACGGTGTCTGAGTATCGCACCACTCTCTCTGCGCTCAATCTCACTCATGACCATGTGGTATGACACAGACACGTGGTTGTACACCCTTCGCGCCAGTGCCGTCTCCACGTCCTCCAAATACTGTGCCAAGCCAGTATCCGTTATCCCCCCAGTGCTACCGCCGCATCTCTGCGCGTACATATTCGCCAGTACATCCATCGCTTCTCTGTGCATGGCCGGTCGCAGGTCGGGCCGGGGCATGCATGCGAGTGAGTTGATATCCTCTCCGTCAATGTGCTGTGCTATGAAGGGGTGTCGTAGTACCTGGGCGAGTGTGATGCGGTTGTCGGGTGTGGAGCTGATCATAGCTAGTAGGAGGTCCTTGCAGTCTTCACTGGCGTTTCTGGGGGGTTTGTACCCCACACCAGCGCGGCACTGTGTGAAACGGCCGTTGAAGGGTAGTCGGTTGCTGACCAAAACGTGCAGGACTACGCCCAGAGCCTACGGAACACGATGACAGAGTTAGAATGCAACAGAGAGTTAGCACCCGGTGCGATGCTCTACACGCGCAATATACCATGGATACGCACTTGGGGTGAAGAAAGAAGCATTCTGGTGGTATTAAAATATACATACACCAAGTTTACAATCGGGTTATTGAACGCCGCGGATATTCCAACGAGGAACACAGCAGGCTGTGAACGTGGAAAGTTGCTATACAGTATGCAAGCCTATATAAATTCTTCACAACATGCCGCAGTGACATACCCAGACATCGACACCTTCGCCTTCATAACGCACGCCGTACTTGGCTGCATACACTTCCGGAGGAGTGAAGAAGGCTGATCCGCACGATTCTACAAACATATTGCCATCCAGCGGTCCTCTCTGGGTCATAGCGGACAACCCAAAATCCACAATTTTTGGATTGTCATCGCTGTAGTAGAGTGTCAGTCAAATCGAGGGTTAGGGTTTTTTCTTCATATCCAACTACACAGACACGTGTGTGGATACGCATCCACTACACATATTACGACAAGTTTAAAACCAAAACTAAGGCAACAGGCATTAAACACCTGCACAAGGTATCCACACTAAGAAAAAGCTTGCTCTCCAGCACTCGCCACCCCTTACCTGGTGACCATGATATTGTTCAGACTAATATCACGGTGGACTACCCCAGATTTATGGCAGTGCATAATTCCCAGTACAGCCCGTGCCAGGAAAACAGCTGCGCGACTCTCCGAGAAGGCACCGTACTCCTTCAGATACTCCTTAATGTTTATTCCTTCGATGTACTCCTGATATATATATAAATATAAACAATGAAAAATTCGATAGAAATGACAGTAAGTGTATGGAAATGATGTTGGAGCAGAAACAGCCTCGAATCTCGTTACCAATCCTTGAATGCACCAGAGATGACAATGACAAGCCCTTCTCCAAACAAGACACTCGATGGTACACACAATCGTTGCATAAAGTCCGAAAGGCATCATCTCCATAGGCGGATATATATATATATATATATATATATATAAATCTAGTGACGTATTGCGAAATTCACACTAACTAACGAACATGCGTATTCCACAACACGGTACATACCAGCACCAGGTATACATTTTTATCGTCCTCAAAGATTTCGAACAATTTCACAATGTACGGATGCCCTTGTACGCGTTTCATGGTTTCCTTTTCTCTCAAGACCAGACGCGTGGTGATGGGGTTCATAAGTTTGTTAATGCATTTGATAGCCACTTCCTTTCTTGTGAAGAAGTGCCGTGCGCGTTGTACCTCTGCCCATCGACCCCTAACAAGGTTGGGATAATATTGACAAAGTGGAGATATGTATAAGAATTCAGTGATGACACAGTAAGATTGTATATAAGCTTCCGAAGAAAAGACTAAGTATTAAACGACGAAGTGATAAAAACATAACCATAATGTAGGGACTCGGCGATGTTGTCCGGGCTATTCAGCGTGATGCGATATATAAATATATATATATACATATACATATATATATGCGCATATATATACATACATATATT